CTGCAACGAAGGAAAAAAAAACACAGTGAGTTTCTACTGACATTAGCAGACATATTTCTTGACGCTATTTGCAGCTAGCTGATTGGAAGGCAGGGGGTGAGGTGTGTGTGTGTGTGTGTGTGTGTGTGTGTGTGTGTGTGTGTGTGTGTGTGTGTGTGTGTGTGTGTGTGTGTGTGTGTGTGTGTGTGTGTGTGTGTGAATGGGGGGGGAGAGAGAGAGAGAGAGAGAGAGAGAGAGAGAGAGAGAGAGAGAGAGAGAGAGAGAGAGAGAGAGAGAGAGAGAGAGAGAGAGAGAGAGAGAGAGAGAGAGAAAGAGAGAGAGAAAGAGAGAGAGAAAGAGAGAGAGAAAGAGAGAGAGAAAGAGAGAGAGAGAGAGAGAGAGAGAGAGAGAGAGAGAGAGAGAGAGAGAGAGAGAGAGAGAGAGAGAGAGAGAGAGAGAGAGAGAGAGAGAGAGAGAGAGAGAGAGAGAGAGACTGGGGACAGATAGACCTACAATGAGAGAGAGAGAGACAGAGAGACAGATAGACCGACAAACAGACAGAGACACAGAGAGGCAGATAGACAGACAAACGGACAGAGAAACAGAGAGACAGATAGACACACAAACAGACAGAGAAACAGAGAGACAGATAGACACACAAACAGACAGAGAAACAGAGAGACAGATAGACACACAATCAGACAGAGAAACAGAGAGACAGATAGACAAACAAACAGACAGAGAAACAGAGAGAATGAACGGATGGACGAACGAACGAATAACAGAGCCAAAAACGACAGAAAAAATAAAAAGCGAGAACATCCTCCTTCCCTCTCCCCTCCCCCCCCATCCAACTCACCTACCACAACCACACTAAAACATTATTCCCACGTCCGTCATCGCCCCGGCGGGTGCAGGGTGAGGGGGGGGGGGGGGGGAGTGGGGATTCGCGGCGGCTGTGACGGAGACAGAAGGGGGGGTAGGGGGTAGGGGGTAGGGGGTAGGGGAGGGAGGGGAGACGAATTGGGAGGAAGGAGGGGTGGGGGGTGGGGGGTAGTAAGGAGGGGAGACGATAGTAAGGAGGGGAGACGAACTAGGAGGAAGGAGGGACGGATGACGGGTAAAGGGGTGGGGGGTGGGGGGGAGTTGTGAGGAGGGGAGACGTATTGGGAGAAAAGAGGGGTCAGGGGGAGGGGGAGGGGGAGGGGGCGGGGGGAGTTGTGAAGAGGGGAGAGAGACGAATTGGGAGGAAGCACATAAAGGGGACTGGGGGGGGGGGGGGGCGGATTAGAAGGTGACGGCGGATTATCAGAAGGAGGGGTGGGGGGGGGGGGGAAACGGATAGTAAGAAAGGAGACGATTGTGAAAAAGGGAGGCGGATTGTAAGTACAAGTGAATAGATATAAGGTGAGGGCATCAAGAGGGGGAGGGACACACTGTAAGGGGGTAGGGGGTGAGGAGGAGGAGGCGGTGGGGGGGGGGGGGTGAGGAGAAGACACGGAGGTGTAAATAAAACAAAAACAAAAAAAAAGTTGGGCTATATATCCGTCACGGAGCGGCCCGCCGGGAAGACGCGTTTGTGTTTTCACCAGCTGCACGTGTCAGTAAAGTACAGAGCAGGGGGGGGGGGTGAGAATGGGGTTAGAAGAAGGGAGAGGGGAAGGAGGAGGAGGAGGAGGAGGAGGAGGAGGAGGAGGAGGAGGAGGAGGAGAAGGAGAAGGAAGAGGCGGACGAGGAGGAGGAGGATGAGGATGAGGATGAGGATGAGGATGATGATGATGATGAGGAGGAGGGGGAGGAGGGGGGAGGGGGAGGAGGTAGGAGAAGGAGGAAGAGGCGGACGAGGAGGAGGAAGAGGAGGAGGAGGAAGAGGAGAAGGAGAAGGAAGAGGCAGACGAGGAGGGGGAGGGGGAGGGGGAGGGGGAGGGGGAGGAGGAGGGGGAGGATGGCGAAAGAAGAAAAGAGCGGAACGCGGAGGCGGGTACAGAAGATGGAAAGATGAAAAATGGAGATGGCGAGAAGGAACAGGAAAGGGATTAACGCGTCTAATGGCCAACATAATGAGATTCATATTTCAAAAAAGGAACCGACGCAAAACGCAAATACACAAAGAGTACCAGTAACACCCCTACCCCCCCCCTCCCTCCTCCTCCTCCTCCTCCACCCCCCATGCCGAATTGAACAACTTTAACCAAAACACTGATCTGACGCAAAATTAAACGATACCAAAATTTAAAACAAACAGATAAATAAGCATAATGAACTCCTTACCGAGGACCTGTCTAGATTGAGACGTGAGCGCGGCGCTGGCACAAGAAGACGCCAGGCCCTGTTCGCCCCCTTTAAGAAGTCTACACGGTCTCGGATCTCGCTCGCAGCGGTGTGCAGGCTCAGACTCCCAACTTATGCCCATTACACACATACGCACGCACACATGTACACATACAGAAACACACACGGGCCGGTATATACGCGCACATCTGCACACATGAGCGCGCACATCTGCACAAGTACACGTACA